AGACAGATTACATGCTATTATGAAGACATATAAAAAAAAAATTGAGGGATGCAACATTCTTCAGAACCTCAAGAATTCTTTGGCTGAAACATTTACACCCTTTTTGTTTTGTAAATGCTTTGGACTATGATATCTTCATCAGAGGAAGAATTTTACTAAAAGTCTTGTGAGCATAGTTCAGTTTTCTGTCTCCTAAATATTTTACAATTTTCCAAAAGTAGCTTTCTTTTTGTTTCTGAGAACATTCTTTCAACTGTTACTAAAGCAGCGGTACATCTATTACTGAAACAGAGAAAAAAGTGAGAGAGGTCAATAAAAATAGTTTATATTAAATTGACATGGTTTCTACTTAAACTCTTCATTCACATCACTCCAGAATCATAGAATTGTAGAATCATAGAATTATTTAGGTTGGAAAAGATTTTTAAGATTATCAAGCCCAACAGTTAACCTAGCACTGCCAAGTCCACCACTAAACCATGTCCCCAGGCACCACATCTACACATCTTTTAAATACCTCCAGGGACAGTGACTCAACCACTTCCCTGGCAGCCTGTTCCAATGCTTGACAACCCTTTTGGTGAAGAAATTTTTCCTAACGTCCAATCTAAATCTCCCCTGGAGCAACTTGAGGCCATTTCCTCTTGTTCTATCACCTTTTACTTGGGAAAACAACACCCACCTCGCTACAACCTTATTTCAGGTAGTTACAGAGAGTGACAAGGTCTCCCCTCAGCCTCCTTTTCTCCAGCCTGAACAACCCCAGTTGCCTCAGCCTCTCCTCATAAGACACGTGCTCTAAACCCTTCACCAGCTTCATTGCTCTTCTCTGGACACACTCTAGCACCTCAATGTCTTTCTTATAGTGAGGGGTCCAAAACTGAATGCAGTATTCAATGTACTGCCTCATCAGTGCTGAGTATAGGGGGACAATCACTTCCCTAGTCCTGCTGGTCACATAATTTCTGATACATGCCAGGATGCTATTGGCCTTCTTGGCCACCTGGGCACACTGCTGGCTCATATTCAGTCAGCTGTTGACCAACATCTCCAGGATTTTTTCTGCCAGACAGCTTTCCAGCCACTCTTCTCCAAGCCTGTTGTGTTGCATGGGGTTGTGGAGACCCAAGTGCAGGACCTGACTCTTAGTCTTGTTGAACCTCATACAACTGGCCTCAGCCCATTGATCCAGCCTTTCCAGATTTCTCTGTAGAACCTTCCTACCCTCAAGTAGATCAACACTCCTGCCCAGTTTGGTAACATCTGCAAACTTACTGAGGGTGCACTCAATCATCTTGTCCAGATCATTGATAAAGATACTAAACAGAACTGGCCCGTGATGCGCCCTGGGGAACAGCACTTGTGACCAGTTTCCAAATGGATTCAACCCCATTCATTACAACTTTTCAGGTTCAGCCATTCACCTAGTTTTTTAGCCAGCAAAGCGCATGCCATGAGGAGCCAGTTTCTCCAGGAGAATGCTGTGGGAAATGGTGTCAAAGGCTTTACCGAAGTCTAGGTAGACAACATCCACAGCCTTTCCCTCATCCACTATGGGAGTGTTCCACAAAGGATTAAGAACTGATACCTAGTTTTGATACTTTTAAAAGAACAATAAACAGCCATTTGCAAAAGTGGTGTTGAATTAGCGTGTCTTCATACACCTTGCATGTAAGTCTACAGGGGGCTCCAAAACTCTTTGCAGTGATCTGTTTTGGATTAAATTAGTGTAATGTAATTTACATCAAAACCAATTTCTGAACATGTCCATTTCTCTTCCTATACTCAATCAGGAATGAAGGAATGAAGGAAAGGAAGAAGGAAGGAAGAAAGAAAAGGATAATATTGCATTAATTCATTCATCATTTCTTTTTGCTATTTTTGGACTGTAAGATTGCTTCATCTACTGTCATATGAGTTATAATTAATAGCATTAATAAGGTGCTCAGCCTACATGGAAAGAAAATTAATGTTATTAGCCAGAGAATAACTCTCTAAGGCATGTCACATGCAGTAACATTATAACTGTGAATGCTTTAAACACTGAATTCTGTTATACAAATATCAGTATGCAAAAGTAGTAGACATACGTGGTCCCAAAGCTTAACCAGAGATTTTGTATTTCGTATTTTTGACATGGACTGTAATCATACTCTTTAGTATTGGTTTAACAAGTCATAAACATGAAAAATTCAAAGGAGTATTTTAATTATTTGCAATAAATAACTGAAAATGAAGAATTGTCTTCTGTTTAGAATTCTCAGTCTGAGTGGACTTCTCTGTCTTGCTAGAAAGGCTTGTTAACTTTTTCTTTTGCAAATGGCAGCTAAAGTCTTCTTTCTGATTCCAGCTGTTATCTCAAAATAGAAACAATATTTCATTTGCATTTCATGGCCCAATCTTGATACAACTTTTTCATCACCTGTACCTGACAGTACCAACTTCTACAACTACTTCTAACTTCTCTTCTAGTCTTTCTTTTCCCAGTCATCCATAAGAGTTTTCCACAGTATTTCCCACTCAGCGGATAACACATTGCAAGTTTCTTTTAGAATTGAATTTAAATTGGTGTTTTTTTACCTACCAGTTGCCAAACATTTCTGATGTTATACTGTAAGGCAGTTTTCCACACACTCATTTTTTTTTCCTATGCTTTGGGTTGTCTTTAATTAGGTTTTGCAGCATATTGTTATATTTGGGCTATTCTGTTCATATTGCTTTTGCAAGCTACATGCATCTATGCATAAATACTAATTTCTGTCTAGTCAATGATAAAACCTCCCTTTGTGGAAGGCTTATAGTTTTCACCTTTTCAGCTTTTCCAGACAATTTTGACTTTTCTACTGTATCATCTTCAGAGGCATTCCAAGAAAATACTGGTTACTGACATGAGCAGTACAGTGAATAAATCTACTTTTTCTGGCATAGTTGATGCATTAAGACTGGAATTTTCAGTGGAGGTTAATGGAAATAAGTACTCCCTTCAATTAAAAAAAAAAAAAAAAAGAAAAATGTTATATTATTCTTTCAGATTCCTTTGGAAATGACAGCCATAACTTTTTTTCATCATTCTAATAACGGAGAAGAAAGTAACAGGAGAATGAAACATATTTTCTACCTCCCAGAGCAAATACGCAATCTGTCAACAGAGGAGTCTTACAAGACATAAGTGAAACCAAGTAACCAAACTCCCAAATGAAATAAAATTTCAAGCTTGTATACTAGTTTATGACAGATGAGGATCTGTTCCCTGATTGATTAAGCTAGCTCTGCTTCCCCTGATGCTCCTGCAAATGATTGTAAAGTTCAACACCTGACGAAACTCATGTATCTCGTCTCTGAGCTTGTTCGAAATTGCTATGTTATCACCACTGAATTTGGATCTCTGATTTATTCCAAGCTTTTTAAATAATATGCTTCTGTCCTACGGTTTGGTTTGTTTGACACATCTCCTAAGAGCCTGTGGTCATTCTGGAAGAGCGCAGTGGTTTTCAATCTGTTACCACCTCTGCCTCATTAAAGAGCCTGAATCAGAAGAACGTGAGCTGCCTGGTTTTCAACTTGCTCTTTAAATTCTGGAGCCACTCTACTCTCCTGAAGGAGGCAGTGAAACGTAATGGCAGCAGCAAACAATCAATGAGGCTGGGATAAGTTAACTATTGCGGAACAGAGAAAGAAACAGTAAAATCAAACACAGTAAGATCAGCTAACGCTCAGTAGCTTACTACAATGTGGATACAAACAGAAATGACAACACATGTACACTTTTTTCTAATGCAAGCACTTAATGCACTAAATGCTGGTGGCCATTGACAGAAGTGATAAAGATTCAGGGTGTAATACAACTGGAATGAAAGCCACTCTCTTGTTACAAAACCTGGTTTACAAAAGAGGTTTTTTCTGTTTAATCGAGTTGCCTTCCACATTGAAAGCCCTTCCTGCTAAGTGTATCACAGTTTCTCACAACAGTTTTCCCCATTTTTTCATATAGTGCACTAAAGACATTACAAATCACCAAATGTGCTGTGATGCCTTGTTTCCCCTAGCTTCTGCAACTAGACCTCTTGATGCAAAATATGCAAAGGAATATACATTATGTTTTACTGTACAGTTTAAAAATATTTATCCACCACAGTTGAATATCTGTTTGTAGCAACTTAATAAAGAAGTTAACATTTTCTTGAAGAAAGCCAATTTGCATTCAGCTGCACTGAGAACAGAATCGACTCGAGGTATATGGGAAGGAGGAATACAAGCTCATCTTCAGCACTTAATACTGCTATTCTACAATATGATTCTTTTCAAATGTGGCCTGTTACTTGTTTTCACAGGTGATTATCTCTGGAATCAGAGAGTCATTCCAATACATCTAGAGATAAGGGAATTTTGTTGAAAGATGTAATGATGAACTGCTGTCCAAGCTCAGAGAGAATGGAAGGCTCTGAAAGGTAAATTGTTTGGTTTTGTTCTTCATGAACAGAAGTGGACCTCACTTGAGTGATATCACTAATTCAGAGAACTCACTAAAATAATTAGCAAATTACTTCTGCTAATAGTGCGTATCATAGTGACTTTATCTGAAAATATTTTGATACCAATATCTTGTGATCACTTTTTGTGTTAGTTTATTGTTTTATGAGCACAACCTGTAGAAACCTGTTGGCACCCAGAAGCTCATGGGGTTGGGTTCAACTACTGTGCTTCAAATGTCCATAGTTAAGGTGTCCATATCTCTGCTAAATCCATTCTGTATTGACTATCTTCATAGTCAAAGAATAGAGCAGGCATTTGCAGGACACAATAAATTTGATCATAAAGTAGATATCATAAGAGGTCAGACTATTGTGACTTTAAAATTACTGTTTCTTTCCCTTAAGTATAGAGGATAAGTATGTCAGATATACTGTAGACACATAAATGGCTGAAATCTGCATTTGGTTGGCATGAATGTAAGTCTCCCATGAATTTGTCCATTGATATTAGAAGTATATGTAACATACCTACACTCCAGTCCATTTCCTCTACTGCATCCCCATATAAACCATGCTTACTCTTTCCTCTGAAATTTTTTGAAGCGTATAGAGCAGTATGGACATGGAGATAAGACAGGACAAGAAGAAATGGTGCATCCGTGTTCCTGGAAAACAAAACAAAACAAAACAAAACCCCAAAACTTTAGTATATTTTATAACTAAAATATATAACTATTTATAAAATTTCTACAAACAAATCTTTCTACAGTAGAGCTCAAAAGAAAGAGGAAGAAAAGGAATGTTGTAACTCATTACAGGATATTCCTGAATACACACACATACACACAGTAAAAATGTCATTCTTTACTATGTATTGAATTGAAAGCAAAAATAAACAACAAAATCTAATTACTGTTTGCTATACATATTGAAAGAGGACTTGTTTAAAGCCAAGAACCTAGCAGTTTCTGGCTACAAGCACCTCTCCTTACTTTACAAGTACATATTTAAATTCCTGAATACAATTGCTATTCAAAAACATACCTTTGTAACTACATAATATGTGAAACACAATTATCTTCCTCAAAAGGTCAAATGGAAGCTAATCCACTAGACTATTATGAGGACCAGGGTCAAATATACCATAATATCATTGACGATGTTAAATCAAGTATACTAGTACTTTTCCTCTTTCATTATTCCGGGTTAAGGCATATGACCAAATCTTCTCTTGCCATTGAATGCTCTATGTGTGTATGCATGTGATCAGTACATAACACTACTAATATGTTGTACCAAAAAGTAAGTAATCTTAAAGTATGTACTAGTATAAATAAATATTTTTCCTCTGACAGTAATGAACAGTCTCCATTGTCTTCAGTCTATTTCCTGAACTGATACAAAAGAAAGAGTGCAATAAAAGTACTCTCTGTAAATTTTGCTGTTTATGTGATCTGTCAACATGGTATTTATGATCAGTTCCAGCAGGCTGTGAAAGCACAGCTCAAGTAAGAACTTTTTCTTATGCATTATTTATGGAACTTTACTTAAAATTGTGCAGTACTAGCCAAACTTACTGCTATATGCTCTAAAAGCATTTGTAGTACATGATGCATACTGTAAATATCACTTGAATCACAAAAGCACTACCCAGAAAACTTGTCTGGATCTCACCTTAAAGCACACAGCTAATTACAGAGTACTTTTGGCTTTATTTAACATATTTTCCCTCATCAGTTTGTGGTGCATAATACCTGTTGTTCACATCAAGATCAAAGGGAGACTATATATTCCCTCATGCAGTTGATTCATCCACCTTTTAAAGAGGGAAGGAACAATATAGACATGCACATACAAATCATTTCTTTAAAATGAAAAAAAAATCTAACCTTTAGAACTTGAAAACAACGTCTTTTATTAAAAGAGATTCATACAATATCAATACTTCACTCTGAAGAAAAAAAAGTAGGTTTAGTCTAGTGTATTTATGATCCATTTTTCTCTCTCCTTGATTGGATCTGGCTTTGCACAAGTTGCATGGTTAAAGCTTTAAAGCTTTTTTTTTTTTTTACTGCCATAGGCAGTAGCATATAAACTCAAAATAGGAAAATTTTATCCAGATTATTCACTTGATAAGTGTGTTTCTGACTGGGAATTTATCTTCATAAAAAGTTTCTCATTTTTTAAAAAATAACAGAATAAATAGAACATTTTTCACGTGGAAAATGGAAACAAAATTATTTTAATTCCCTTCAAATATTTGTGCATGTGTCCTGCATCATTTTAGTATTATCAAGTACAAATCCAAAAAAACAAAGACAATATTTTTCATAAAAGATACACTTTCCATGAAGTTGTGTTTGTTGCTATTTGAGAGGTCATATATGTGAGAATCTTTCATTACTGTAGCAACAAATAGAACATGAGACTTCTGACTCAATTAGAAAGACTGAAAATGTCAGAACTTCAAGTAAAAAAAAGATGTATACTTCTAAGTTTAATATTTCTTATGTATATTAATGTAACACTGACCTTTCATTAAAGAACATTTCTGCAAGGCAGCTGATTTTTGTTTTACAACCTGCATGTTTTACTGCATGAGATTATCTTTGACTTTTTCCTTAAACACAGTTCACTGAATTGAGAGTAATATACAAATTCTAGAGGAAAACACCACAAAAATCTACTTTATACTTATCATGGTGCAGGTGCGATTTGCTTTTCATGCAAACTTCCTTGTTCTAATGTCACAGAGATAGCGTGTACTTCTAAATGTATATCTGTATTGCTAAATGTGAGTACCAAAAGCCTGCACTTTAAATGTTATTTTCAAGAGATAGCAAGGCAGGTTTGTTTTGGGTTTTTTTTTAAATGGAACTGACACAAAGATCTAACTTTCATGAAGAGTCATCAAATCAATGATTGATATGGAAGGGCACTACATCATTCTCTTCTTTGCAACTCAAATTGACAGGTCCTGATTGACAGTTCGCTGTCAGGTGGAGAAGTGTCTCACCTATTAATATCCTATAAAAGATCACAGGCAGCTATTTATCTCCTGCCAAAGCTCTTTGAGGGGAATCATAACTGACTACCTTTTCCGTGACCTTGAAAATGGAATGACAATATCAGCTGGTAGGCAGGAGAGAAATTTGACGGTAACAGCTTAACTCCTGAACCATTTCAGTAAACAGCTCCTTCAAAAATATATTGCTGCTATCTTTTACACAGTTCAACCACAGTGAACTTTAGTTTCAAAATATCTGAGATTCACTTACTCAAATACAGGAAAAAATTTTATCCTAACATGAATCAGACAGTTTTTTCAATTTACTGAGTAGCCAGAGAGATGACACACATCTGACATAAGACATACTTTAATGTGTGCTTAACTGATCTTAAAAACAGTTAAATGCATCGCACTGCTGGTGACTCCTTTGCATGGCACAGTACTAGGTTCTTCTTATTTAGTGTGAGGGGTCTTCACATTACTCAAGGATTTAGTTCAGGCTTGAGCTGTAAAACACAGCTTTAAATTGGGTGAGAGAGTAAGTTACAACTAATCTTACTTTTTGCTTCACACACGAGTCTTTTAACATTTTTCCTGCATTTTTGCTCTAAATACTTGCTGCATTGAAAACTCCTTGGGTACTTTTGTTTTCTTTTCTGTGCATTGATAATCTAAAACCACTGCTGCAGGGCAACAGGCAGGGCTCTGAATTTGTGTGCCTGTGACTGTCAAATCAAACTGAGATTTCAAATATGAGTTTTATATGGGAAACGAGATGGGGAACATGGGCTCCATTTTACTCTTCACAATCTATTCTAAATTAACCTTTAATATGTTGGACAAGTATGATCTTTCTAAACCAAACTTTTTTTTGCTACAGAGAAATTATCCTCACATTCTGTCATAAAGCATGCATTTTTAACCTGTTAGACTACTATACCCTCTATAACAGTGAAGGTGCTATAATTCACAGCAGCTGAATATGCGAGCAGATATACTCGGCTTTGCCTGAGCTGGGCAAACAGTGTGCTGTGCTAAAATCGGGTTAAGAATTGTTTCTGTAATCCCCAAAATCTTATAAATTCCAGCTAATTCACCCATAACACTGAAATAGCCTGCAAGGAACTATTTGAAGTAGATATAGGGGTAAAATATATTACTTCTTATAAGGATGAGTACGTATGATTTAATAAGGCTTATTGAATGAGATGATGTCATTTTCACATAGTCACAGTGCACCACGGTCACAGATAAAAGGAAAGAAAAGAAAAATGCTGAAGTATATAATCTAAAGACATATTTTCAGCACAAATTTGTAACAGTGTGTCAGTACAGGCAAATGCAAAGCTAACTTTTCCTCTCCTGTAACTCTCCTTTAATAAAAACATTCTTCTTATTCAATATCCCCCCAGTGGATAAATTCATTCACTGCTTATTCCCCATGGCTCCCTTCTCTGCTTCCATACTAGATCGCCAATTAGACAGTGCTCTTTGTGACTGGAGTGGCTGAATGCACTTCATTAATCCTTGTTCCTGCAGAAGGAAAAGCTAAACCTTGGCTTAGTTTTATCAAAGCAGGACTTTGTCCTACAAGCTGGATTTTCTTTTATTCTGACTGCTAACAGTGCTAAAATCCTTGCTACCATGAATGAATCCATGAATTTATATTTCTGTCTTACTCTTTTAAAAGACACATATATTAAAAAAGAGTAGTAACTTATAAGCCATAAAAAATCTAATGGATCTTCATCAGGCAGGGGGATTGGACTAGATGATCCTTTGAGGTCCCTTCCAATCCCTAACATTCTGTGATTCTGTGATATACATACATCATGTGTATATAAAGATACACAAACTCTTCTCTATATTTTGTATTTTGCTGTAAACTATAAAGGATCTTCTTGCAGAATTCATAAAAACACTTGATTTCAGAACTCCAACTCCAGTACAACATGTCAACTGCTTGATCTTAAGACCTAGTGATATATGGAAAAACTCTAAACCACAGTCTGATAGATTGGATGAAAATAAATTTGAAGATGTGTTGTAACAGTGTTTGAAGGACTGAAATAGAATAGATGAAAACAAAATAAAAAATAATAAATCATAAAAGTTTGAATATTATGACTATGCAATCAAGGACTGAAAAAAATAAACCTGCATGAAAATTGTACAACATTATCTTGATCATAGCTTTGGAATATAACCATGTTTGTATGCAAATACTGTTTTCTAGAATGTAAATTTCATTAGGGTTCTTTTAAAAAAAATATTATTATTGTTATCAGCTATCCAAAATTGTCAGAGAGGTATTCTGTATCACAGAGTGGTACTTTTGTCTTGTTAATTTCTGATACGTTAAAAACACGTCTCTGTCATTTTCCAAATTTGGATTGTCTGTTCAATTGGTCATTAAAGGACATGCTGAAGACACATGAGTGACAACCACATTGAACTTAACATGAAATAATTAGCATTCATTTGACTTTCAAATATACTGCAATGTCTAGAGAGTGCTCTGATACATTTACAACATGACATATCTGCTCTTGGGAAAAAGTGATTAGAATTAACATACACTGAGCTTACCTGCCCATTTACAATTAGGGTGAGCAATTAATTAGTATTTGTTTTCACACACCGGATCTGATACTTGTATATATTCTTCTCCAGTGCCACTTCTGAGTATTTAATATTGTATTTGCTCTCATTCAATCTACCTAGGAACAAATGAAAACAGTAATACACATATCCTAGACTAAGGATATCAGGACACAGTATCACCTCTCAAAAAACCCACATCAAAGTAAGTATAACAGCACATAGCTATAAACTATGAAGGAATTATAAGAAGACTTGAAAAATACAAAATCTAATTATTATATACATGGTAAGAAGCCACAAAGTTGACAATATGACTGTCATTTTGTCATGACAAATATGAGAGATAGCTAGAAAAGATAATAATGTCAGGAAGTTCATTGCCTGAACTCTGAAGAACTTATAAAGGTAATATAGGTAATAGGTATAATAAACCTATATAGATAAAACATTTATATTGTAATTGTTGTATAACTACATATAGATTCATATGTATTACACATAAATACAGTATAAAAGGGCTATATAGAAATTATCAGTGCTGTTGAAGATCAAAGCTTCATCATACATTTAAAGATAATTAACCAATTAAATAATGCATGATAGTTGATGATTTTTAGTTTGATGATAAAATGTATTAAGAACCAGTTAAGGTGAACGACTGAATTCTTCAAACTCAGGCGTTTGTACTCTGGTATACTTGTGCAAAGGGATTACTGGTGTACAGGACTGAGCTTGCTACTTATTGTATTATTTAAACAAAATAAGTCGGTATGACAAATCAAGTGTTGAGTTAAACGTGTGGCTGAAAGAGGGCTGAAAGAGACTGCTCACTGAAAGAAGTGGAACAAGAGTGCCGCGGAGCAACCGTGGCTTCCAAAAACCTGGTGGCCCTTCACTTATGAGTGCCAGATGTCTGACTGCTGCTACAACCTGGTTACCTCTTGACAGCCATTCCTCTAGAAATGGCCAAAGTCAGTAGACTAGTCACAAAACCAATGGTCTACAGGTGCACTGGAGTTGACAGGTATAAACTATATAATGTCCGAATCAGTGTGTCGAAGTACATATTGATTTTGTTGCTCACATTAATATATGGGACAGATCAGTTCAGTGAATATTATTCTAATTACTTCTACCCTCAGGTGCAAATTTTATGGTCATATACTTTGCATATGAATTCACTACAGGGCAGAGTTAAGATCGCTCGAATGCCCTAATTGCTTCTCAATACCTTAATGTGCTTGGATATTCTTTAATTCAACATTGACTCCGAATTGTCTGGGTTATAATTCTCACTATAATTGCAGCATTCCTGTAACAAAGTTTATTGTAAATTACAAATATGTGCAATTAACCTTGACTTCAATTTAATATCACTTTTGTCTGGAAACCAAATTGAGAACTGAGGCCAAGTGCCCAGCTGATGTAAAGCCACTTACCTCCAGCTGAGTCAACAAAGCTAGGCTGACTTAGATGATACATTGTTTCGCCAGCTCTAAACACTAAGCTCTACAATAACACTGTGCACATTATGAATACTAATACAGTTAAAAGAGTTACTAGTTTTCAAGCATTGATTTCCAATCTTGAACTCACCATGGTTTCGAGGCTACCATTTTATTGTCATTGCATTGAAATCAATGAAACATTCAGAGATACTGAAAACATTACGAATCACTACAGGCACATTACATATTCGTAAATCACGAAAGAATCTTCCAACATATAGTTAATGTACTCAAGAATCTTTAAAATCACCAAAATCTTGGTCACTAAGCAAATACCTCTCAACAATTTTCAAAGGGAGGTATGTGTTTGTAGCAAACAAAGTACTTCACTGCTAAATTAGTTAGACTGTAAATAAGAAGGCACCTTTATATCTATCACCATTGCCAAGAGAGAATAAAGATGTTTTAGTTTATTTATAAATACTCACGAGAATTGTTGGGAAGACTTATTCACTTAATGCAACTTGATATAAAAAGCATTTTATTTTGGTATGATGGGTAGATATGGCCACATCAAATATTTATAATTATAGAAATGATAGAAAAATTGCAGTATGATATCAAGATTTTAGATATTTTTTCTTACTAACAGTCTTGATGACTACTGCATGCAGTCATTAAGTCTAGAAAATTTAGCTTCTGATTCTTTAGTATAAGTGTTCATTCAGAAATGATGCCGTGTGAATGTATTCACAGTACCTACCTGGTACATACTTTTCAGAATAGTAATTAAGAGACTTCTTATGTCTTAGAACATGCTTTTACTTTTCATTAATTATTTTTCAAAATGATGCAACTGGTTTCAAAAGCATCCAAGAAAAATACTTTCGCATATTTTTCAAGTTAAATGGATGAAATATTTTTGCTTCAAATATATTGACTAATATTTCCGAATATAAAAATATATATACTTTTATAATTTGAGCCTACTAAAAGCCCTGTGGTGGCAATTATGTCAAATGAACCTAACATTGCAAAAATGAAGAATAACTTCAGATGATTTTGTACATCAAATGTTTAGGTGAGCCAATGTGATGTCTATTGAAAAATCATTACTTTCAAAAAGTCATTTATTTCCTAACTTCTGTAAATCAAATATTTTCAAATGAATCTGGCATAAAAGTGGAGGCATCTAAAATGACATTATCTTAAAAAAATTGCCTTATGAATGCCATTTAATGGATGCATCAAATGAATGCCAAAGTTTCCCACTCCAGAAAAGTCATGGATTATGACTCTGCATTGTGCTTTCACATAATTAAGTCACACCACAGAAGATTTTACGTATTTCAAGTTACACGAAATTCTCAAGAATGAAAGTCCTAAAGTTAGATGTTTAAATGATTTTTTTTTCTGAAGTACGCAAACATAGTTTTAAATTTGTATAAAGAAAATAATTACATACTCAATAGAAAAAAAGTTACTTTCACTAAAAATATTAACTTCAGTCATCTTTTAAAGGAAAAAAAGATGATAATATATAATGACATATTCCTCATGACCACCAGTTCATATTTTTTTCCTACTTTTTCAGAAGCATTGTCAGATAATGACATATTCCTCATGACCACCGGTTCACATTTTTTTCCTACTTTTTCAGAAGCATTGTCATTGTAAAATGCCAGCATTAACTTATAACACAGTTAGAAACCTACCTTCCTATAAACTGCACGGCTTCCTTTGTCAGTCTCTGAGTAAGGTTCTCATAGGATAGTGGTTGCTGGATAATCTGATGGTCCCTCATTAAGAAGCAGTTCAGGTGTCGAAAATGATAAAAGAAAAAGATCAAAACCGCAAGTGAAATAGCCGTTATTAACAAGCAGTAACCCAGTGCTTGGAATGGTACTTTGAGGAGGCCAATGTACTGCGCTATTGCCAAAGAGACCAGGGTGATTCCAGCGATTTTGATTGGGATGACAAGGGATTTCTGAACCCCTTTTAAAAATACGCTGCCTTGGCCAGGTTTGCAGTCTCTAAAATTGGTCACGGTAAGCCCATAAAAGTAATCAAATCCATGACTAAGGGGGTGGTGACAGAAGTCATTACTGCTTTCACAGTTCATCCCAAGATGCCACTTTCCTGCAAAGAGAAAAGGACAGAGAGTATTTTTGTAGTTAAATCATCAAACTTATAATGTGTGCTATTCCAAACATGAAACTGTCACTATGTGACTGATATCCCTCCACCTTCAGCATTTATTGTGTGGATCCTTATTTTCTATCTATTTTTTTTTTTTTTTATGCCTTCATCAAAGACTTGTTTCATGTCTGTCTCTTCATTTTAGTTAGAAATAGTTTGGCACAGCTCCTGATGGAGACCATTAAATTTTGAGTGGGCCAGCAGGTCAGTGAAGAGCAAGAGTCCTAACAGATAGTTAACTTTGAAAATAAAGCCTTTGTGCATGTGTAGTTAAGTAGTCATAAGAAAATATATTTTTGTAGCAGCTACTGCTTTCTTAGGAAGAGCCAATACGGAATAATGAAATATCCTTTATGATTTTTTTTTCTGGCAAATCAGTCACATTTGACTAGTTTATTTAAAAAAACCAAACAAACCAACAACAAAACAACAGTAACAAATGGGAAATAAGTCAAGAATAGTGAAATTACCAAGGCATTTATTATTTAAATGATTGCAAAATCTCTTAGATTTTTTATTTAAATATATTTTATATATATAGAAATAAAAAAAGAAACAACAGTAACAAGTAAATTTCCGCCAAATACTATCTCTCACAGCATTTTGTCTCACTAGGAAATCATTCTAATTCTGTAATAATGTTGGACACTGACTGACACAAGAAAAAGGTGAGTTTGATTTGCATTATAGTAGCATAATCTATGATCATGTTGATTACAGTAAGTAGATAATTCACTCTATGGCACAGGTACAACTTCGCACCATATGCTTATGCATCACTTAGTGCAATAAAAGTAACTGTTTAGTAGATGTTATTTAAATTCAAATGCATAATTTAAAAGAAATCAAATACATTTAAGCCTATTGACAAATTATGGCTAGAGCTATGATCTTTGGTCTAAGCAAGGAAACGTGTTGAATATTTGACAAAATGTGTCACCTTTGACAAAACATATTACAATATACATTGCTGGACCAAATTTTATTTATTTTTTTCTGAATCAAATATCTACACACGACCAGCATAATTCAGGGGTTGTGATCTTAAAAGAAATAAACAAAAAAAGGTGAAAACCCAGTAAGTCCTCAACTCCATAACCTAGACCAAAGAAATCGGAAATATTTTGTTTTAGAGACTTCAGGATACACATGGTAGAAAGTATATGAAAGAGACAAAGTATATATAGAATTTTCCCCTTTCCCGAACCATCCCAGTTTTTATATATCTGTAAGAAAGAGTCCTGATGCAGGCAGTCCTGAGCATCTCCTGCAGAGCAGCATATTCATCCTGCACTTCTGCCTTTGGCAATGCCAAATGTGGATACTGCAGTAGTGAAGAGGGTGAAGATGGTGGTTAGTTGTGATTTTTTGAAATAGTACCTAGCAAATGGGCTCAATGTCATTACTTCTTTCACAAACAAGAGAACTAAGGGATGGGATGGGAATGCTGTGTGCCTAAGTTCACCCAACAGCAAAAGTGGAGAAATGTATCACAGAAATGTTGAGCCTGATTGAATACTTAGGTGGTATTTCAGTTCTCCTCATACATCTCTTGCTGGTCTTAGGTTAGAAATACCTTCTGTACATCACAGAAGCAGGTATAAAAGCATTTTCAGGTCTGCTTATGTGCCAGTGAAATGGAGGCCTCTATAGTTTTCTCATCCCATCAGAAGTTTTCCCACTTACTGGCAGATGGCCTCTTACCTGAGGTGGTATTCCGCTTTCCACAGGCAGAATGGCTCTATTGCTACTTTTGACACGATCCAGTGAATATTATTGTGGCCGATTACAAAAAGAGAAATGCAGATCACTGTACTGAATATTTAGATGTTATAATGGTGCCATAAAGGGCTAGCTAAGACTGCTACTCTGAATTTCATTCCCAGCAAGTATTGACGCAGATTTTAGAAAATAAATGCTTCAATGTTTTCTCTTAGGTTTACACAACTGTCTTTATGGAATAATTGTAAAGCCAGATAGGTAGCAAGGTGAGCATGAAACAACTCTCATCAAGTCAGATAACTGAAAAAAAAGTTAGAGGTTTATAATCACAAATATAAATGATCTTAAAGTTTGGGGTTTTTTTTGTTGTTATTTGTCAATCTCGAAGCACCTATAATTCAGTTAAAAAATATGAAAAAGAAACCCCAAAAAATTAAATATACTTTAAGGTCATTTATAACAGTATAAAGAAGTTTGTTTAAGCTGGATCTCAATAAAACTAGACCTTGCAAGCAGAAGACTCTTGCAACAACAAATTAGGACAAGGGAAAAAATAGGACCTATTTTTATCGAAAGGGTTTTAGCAAGCACAACAAATTGTTCAATGTCAAGATGAACTTGGGCCTCAAAAAAAGATTTTCTCAGAAGCAACTTAAGCCAAAGAAATCAGAGGGCAGGTTAGCTCAGAAGAGCAATAGAAGCACTGGCTCAAATTCTATCGGCAGCTGTGACTGAAAGACACAATTGCCACTCTCAAATGGCTGACAAGGTAGAGAGACTTCATAGGTCCTGCACTACTCTGAAAAAGCAAGTGATGACTGGGTGCACAATACATGTTTTGTTTCATTCTTTGTGACAATAAGTCCTGCCTTGAGTTAGTGTTCAACAGATTACTGCAATGTGCTTTACACTCTGGGGCCCTTCTGAATCTGAGAGAAGGGCAAATTACTCTCATCTCTTTGCCAAGTGAAGCTTCATAGCATGGACACTTCACACAAGCATCATGCACATTTCAGCAGATTCTACCAAGCTTTTGAGTGAAATTTATGCTCTTCATTGTAAATTATGAATACCTTAATAGTTTGAGACCTAGGCTTTTTTCCCTCTCCTTTGGCCACAATTAACATTTCTGCAGAGCAAAAGCAATGCAATGAAAGGTTAAGAGGAAATAAGAGGCAAGTCTTATTCAGCCAAGAAACGTCATTTGGAACTGTTTTTCAGAGCCAAGAACATTGGAAAGGCTGCAAAAACACATGTTTTCCCTTTACTTTTCCCTTAGACAATTGAAAACGGAGTAATCTGAAGACTTACTTATATATATTGATATATTTCTTTTGGTATGGTTTTGTGCCCTTCAGATAAATGGTAAGATGCAAGACGCAGAGCAAGATGCAAATGGAAATATTTTACTTGCTCAAAGAAATATATTTATATAAGATATACATAGTAATAATATAAAATATATGTGCATATATTAGTAATATGGTCAGATTTTAAGCTGTTCTATTAATAACTGTTCTATTAATCCTCCTTCATAGAATCAGTCAATCTTGTATTTCTCACTACTCTGATAGTGTGTTCAAATACTATACCACCTCATTTTGGAGGAAAGATACCAGTCTCAATTTATCTGTTAGCATTTTAAACTTTGGAGGTAAGCTACATGGGTGGATTTTAAACTTTTCTGGATGCTAGACAATACACTGTGTAACAGTACTGAGGAAAAGTTGACCTTTACTCAACTGTAATTGAGTATAGCAGTAGCTAAAATAATATCTATCTACCTTCAGTTAAATTTTTGTATTATGAATAGCTATTTCCTACAAAACGTCAACATTTCTTGCTACTCTCCAGGATCCTTAACTGGTGAAATGTTACATATTCAGTGCTGCTGCCTTTTTTAAGAAAACTTGGTTTTGTTGCAGATTTTCTGAGTGTGTCTCTTCCTGCCAGATCTATTGGATGTCACCTTCTTTGTGTCACAAGGGAAAAACAATGAGGTAAAAAAATGTATACATAAAACAGATTTATAGCTGAAATATATTTAGGGACGTATCAAGCAAGAGGAAGCATATATTCAAAGAAGGGAAAAAAATTAAAAAAGAAAGGAAAATGCATTTAAGAAAGAAAAAAATGTCCTTAGAGAGTAAAGAGGAGAGAAACTTGGCAAAAAAAAGAAGTGACAGTACAGGCTTGAGAAACTGAAAGGCTTCAAATTACCCTTATGCCAATCCATCACTGGTGCAGGATTTGACAATTAATTGTTTGGGAACTGCTGAGTTAGACTGAATCAAGCAAAGACTCCCTGACCTAGACCAATATGATGTGATAAGAATATCAGCAGAGGCAGCAAAGGGGTTGGTTTGGAACCAGAGTCTGTCTATCTAGTCTTCAAATCTACATAATTTTTCTTTTTGTCATTTACATATACTTTATTCTTAATTTTAATGCACTTCTTGATTTTTGGAAGCCTTCATTATACTTTAAGGATATGGTAATATTACATCTTACAGTTTCATAGCTATCATTCAGGCCACTTGGAAGAATTGTTCATTAAGCATCATGAAGATAATTTCTGGAGATCTAAGTGGCAAGCTGTCATGTTGCAGTGAAAGCAGTTAAAAAAAGAATAGTAACTAGGTCAGTCCCAGAAAATGAGTATTTGTATTACAGTACTTACTACAAACAGAAAAATGATTTTTTTTTTCAGTCTTTAGTTGAATATGGAGCAATAAGAATTAACTCCATGATGAAAATGACAAATTATGAATGGCTTTTTTGCGCTACGGTTCAAATACACCTACAATAAACATACTTCTGTTAAGATTTTCTTTTCTGTTTTTAATCTGTTAGGACATGAAGGTGTTTTATACTTTCTAAGACTGGTGTATAGCCAAGCAGGACTTTTTAGTTAGGAACATCAACATTGGTTACCTACACAACACATACATTTTTTGAACATAGTGCGAATTGTTAGCCTTGCGAAACAGACTGATTTTTAAACAAAAATTACTCCCAAAATCACAAGCTTTTGTTACATTTTAAAATCAAATTTGGTGCATCGAGCTTCTAAAATAATGCAGTAACGTTTTAGTTATGATGTTCTCTAAACAACTGTTTCCTGGCAATTCCAGTAGAGAAATGTACATTGTGTAATACAAGTTGTATTTCACAAAAATCTTCTAAAATGTAAGCAGTATGAAATAAGTCAGTGGTCAAATTAGGAAAAAAAAACCCACACTATTTAAATGCTATACCTTTATGATACTCATTCCAGTTCTGTTTAATTTTCATCTGGTGGGATTCCTTTTACCCATCACTGGATATTTATGCTGCAGTTAGTTGTCTGAACTATCTTTATAATGAGAGAGAAACACATTTTTATATTAAACATCTACCACAGGATGAGACAAACTTCCTAGAAATGCCAATTTCAGTCTGATGACTAAGAAGAGAATCCAGATGGTTAGCCAAGGTACTGTAATATCTACTTTATGGATATTTGAAAAGTGGTGAAATGAATCCCACTACTGTGTTGACATGTACCCTGCGATCGATCCCTCATTGTCTTTGTTGTAATAAAACTCCTATTTATACTGAAAAACTTCTTAAGAGCTTAACTAATTTTCAGTTTGTTCATCATAGTTCTTCAGTATCTTGCACAATGAGACTATAACTACACAAGTGAATTAGATATACTTACCTGATTAATGTTTCACATATGCACAGGAATGTGGTCAGCTTTGTGGCAGAAAAATAAACTCATTATGCTGTGGGGGAAAAGCACTTAGTGCAGACCCTTAATAGCCTATATAGAAAGCTAATGCTCTTTTGATTGAAACGAATGAAAAATAATGCTGTACATGTATGCAATTTTACCTATTAAAGCTGTTGTATAACCTCTCTGCTTCAGGAGTTTGGAAAAAGTTATTTCTTCCAAAGGAAGTCCTCCAGAAGAGGCAGAAAATAAGAAGACACCAACTCGTGAGAAGGCAGCCATTCCTAAACACAATGAAAATGAATGAGACTTGGATAGTACAGTGAAACAATTTCCATTTGTTCTTTCTGCATGCACTTTTTTGTTTTGGGTAGTATCATTTAAATGACATGTTACCACCAGACGCTAAACATTGCAAGTGGCAGATACACTCACCCATTTAGCTGAGCAAGGTCTTTTTTGCATTGACACTAGAAATTGAGAAGTGGAGAAAAAAAAATCTGCCTTTAACTGTGGGTCAGCCATCACATAAACAGCTGCAGCCCCTTCTGTAGATGTTCTAAGGTATAACATATCTGAAAGAAGTTCAGCTTGCATAATTTATTTTTCTTGTACATGGGGAAGGAATGGAGCTGGGAACTGAGATCACTCCCAATATCTACTCTCAGAACTTTCACTTTCCTCATACATGGTTTTCTACAAGCCTTTAAGGTTATCTGAGAGAAGGGAGTTGAAGTAGGGCAGTCACACAGCTGGGCATGTCTGCTGGGTTTGTTTATGCGGTGGGGTTTTGGTAGCTGGAGAGAGGCTACAAGGGTGGCCCCTGTAGGGAGCTGTGAGAAGCCTCCCCGGCTCCAAGTGGGACCTGCCTCCGAAACAATCAGTGCCTCTGTGAATGACGTATTTAAGAAGGGACAAAGAAACTCGAGCTATGTGGGAACTCCAATGAAGAGAGAGGGATGAGGTGGGTGTCCTGGCCCATGGTATCCTGCTACCCTGCTGGGCGGCTGCCTGCACTGGGCCACCACCACCCGACTGGAGATGGCTGCGGTGGTGTGGCTGGGAGAGCTCCAAAGCGCCCCATTCCCAGGGCCCCTGCTGAGTGGAGTTCGTCCTGCCAGGACTGCCGAGGTTCATCAGGCCTGTCAGGCCCAGTGTGGCTGCAGCAAAGAGAGGGCTGAGACCTGAGAGAAATGGCCATGCAGACACAGGGTCAGCGAAGATGGAGCAGGAGGAGGTGTGCCGGAGCTGAGATTCCCCTGCAGCCCATGGCTGCACCCAAAGGAGTTTGTAGAGGAATGTCTCCCATGGGAAAGGATCCCGTGCTGCTGGAGATTAATGGTGGAGTAGACATGCATCTGCAGTCTGTGGAGGACCCCATGTCAAAGAGGGTGGCTGCACCCTAAGAAGTTGCGACTCTGTGGGAAGAGCACATGTGGGAGCAGTCTGATGGGTAAGGACTGGATTCCGTGCGAAGGACTCATGTTGGAGGAGTTCGTGGAGAACTGTCTCCCATGGGAGGGGACCCCACAACGGAGAACAGGAAGAGTATAAGGAGTCCTTCCCCTGAAGATGAAGGAGCCACAGAAATAATGTCTGACGAACTGACCATAACCCCCATTCCCCATCCCCGCGCACTGCTGGTGGGGAGAAGGTAGAGTTGCGAAGAAGGGAGTGGTGGGGGGAAGGTGTTAAATTTTAAGATCTGGCTTTGTTTCTCAGTATCCTCACTGACGTGATTGGTAACGAATTAAATTGATTTGTTCCCAAGCTGAGCCTGTTTTGCCTGTGGCTATGGTTGGTGGGTCATCCCTTCCTGTTCTTATCTCGACCCTCAGCCTTTTGTTATATCCTCTCCTCTCCTCCCCTCATAGGAGGGAGAGAAGTAAGTGAGCAGCTGAGTGGTGCTTAGTTGCTGCCTGGGGCTAAATCACGACAGCAAGTAAATATCATGACGTCAAAAAAGAGCAAGGGAGAGTCTGATTCTGGAAACAGAGTGGCTGGGGCACTCAGCTTTGATGGGAGAAGACCAGCACTCCAATGGCATGAAGACACATGATTCAATGTACACAGATTGCATTAAAGGAGCATCAGGTATCAGCTAACAAGTCAACATCTAAATAAGGGATAGTAATTTCTGAGTACTGAGAGTCTGAGGAACACAAACTTGAGTTTATAAACTACTCTGAGGATGAGGAACTTGAGAGCTCAGGTTCATGAAAATTAGATTACTAGGATTCCAGATGAGAGCTGGCTCTGAGTATAGAGAGACAGAACACAGAATATCTATGCAAATCTGTGCAGATGTATCTCCAGGAAACCTAAATTATGCAACTGGATGATTGCAGTGCCAAAGTTACATGACTGATGCAGACAATCAGAATCTTCCCTCAGGTATCCCTTGTGGTTAGACAAGGAAACAAACTCGTTAGACTGGTTTATTAAAGAGAGCATAACCTACTCTTTGAATGTTGATTTCAGTTTTTCACCTCAGCTAGCTTTATTGATCAACAGTTTAGGTAGTTTTAGTCATACATACATATCTATATTTTATTTATTATATATTTATTTGGTTTTATTTTTATGTAGTTTGATCTCTTGAAATCAGTGTAATTCCCTTAAGTTACTAGAATGAAAGTATGGAACCATGATTTTTTTCTTCTTTTTCCATTGTTACCTTTCTCAGAGTTTATATCTCATCAAATACTGCATTTTGGAATATTTTTTTCAGCTCTATTAGCAGGAGTTTTAAATTTCTAACATTTTTTCCACATCTTGATTCTAATGTCTTCTGTCGTAATCCTTTACTAGTTCTTCACTGACGTTTGGAAGTAGTTCATATTTAGCGATTTTTTAATTTAATTGAGAAAAAGTTCAATTTCTGCATCTACATGGAAATTATTAGGTATGACTGAGAGCAGATCAGTTAAGAAAAACATCAGTTCAAATGCTAATTTTTCAGAAATAAGAACAAGGATTAGAGTGGAAAGTGACCTGTGGCTTTACTGTAAATATTAATGGCAATATAGCTGTAACAGGTATATAAAATTTTCCTTTGCAGCTGAATGTAATGGAAAATTTAGCAGGTTACATTAGCTGGCACTTTTGCAGAAGCTTGTTACTTGATTTGAATGAGCACGAACATATCAAGTAAGCTCCAGAGTCTTGCTTTGCTTTCATTCCCAGAAGCAAGGACAGGATGTTTTATCACTAATGAACAAGTGATCTGATTAATGTATAATGATCCCTGCTAAAAATGATGTTAAAGGAATGTTAAAGTTGCATGGCTAAGCACTGAGGGACTCAGTCCCAGCACACTAAAATAAACAGACTGGATCTTTACTGACTCAAATGGGCTTTGGATCAGGTACTTTAAAAGTAAGAAAGTTATTAAATGCATGTATTCATAGGATACTTAACACTGTGTATAGGCAGATATGGAACAAAAATATTTAGAAAGAAGGGAGATTTTTTTTTCTTTCTTCCTCCCAGCTTTAAGGGCTGCTGGAGTACCTTAAATGAATTGTCCTTCTGTCACTCCCCTGGGAAAATCACCATTTGTCTAAACCAAAAGGTTTTGTAGAAACAGAAATATCTGAGCAAAAGGATTTACACTGGGTTCTTTCATTGTGTCTTTCTAGACGCATCTCTGTGATGCTCAACACTGAGCCTGCCCACCAACATCCTGGGAGCAGCCTGAATGCAACTGGTGACGCAGGCAAAGAACCCATGGTCATTTGGACAGTGGAGGAAGTCAATGGAATTTGGCTGCACCTTCCATTAAATAATCACAATCAGACTTCTTCCTCACTATTTTAGAAAAAAATCTTTTTCTCAATTAAGAAAAGCTTTATTTTTCTCTTAACACTTCTGAAACGTGAGAATTTCCCATATATATGGAAGATTTTAAATGCTGATCAACTCTGCTGAGCTTGATCAGCCACTGAAATGAGTACCTAAGCTGGCATTGATAAAAACATCAAGAAAGGCCAGAGAACAAAAAATGCATACAGTTTACTGCAAATAAAATATCGTCTTTATATATAAATAAAGCAACGGGACTTTACCTGATCTGATAGGGTATCGCCCTGTTAGGAAAGCTGCCCTGCTTGGAGTACAAAGTGGGGATGCTGCTATATGCTGAGTAAGCGTCACTCCTTCCTCTGCTAGCCTGTCAATATTAGGAGTTCTAGAAAAATATAAGCAGGGGAAAAAAACAAAAATAATACACAAAGGTGATTATTTTGAAATAGGATTGGTGAGATCAAGGCATCCAAGGCAAAGACTATCAGGAAAATCAAGTTAAGACTTACCCTATGCAAATTACCAAAACCATGATGTCGTTGCAATTCTAAACACTATCATGTCAAATATTTTTACATTAGGTGTCAACAATGAACTGAGACACTGTGGCATTGTGCCAAAAATCTTTTTCCCCACTTTCATCTACTCTTCATGGCTAATACTAAGCTATGACACCTGAATGTTTTGTATTGCCACCCTTTTTTAATGCATTCCTTAGCCCAGAACTTTGCTACTTACCTGGCACTTCTGCTTCAGTAATGGGGAGAGGAGAGACTGGACAAAAGTTTTGCTTCTTTACCCCCTACTCGGTGTCAATACTCTTTCCTCAGCAAAGATTTTTGGGGCAGAAGTAACGTTGTGTGGTGGTATCAGTTATTAGGAGAGACTCAAATGGTCATGACTCTGTGTTAGCCTCTATTAACAATGTTTGCATGTCTGACGTGACTATGTCTGCAATATTAGATCAAGGAGCACATCCAAGTTTCTATATCTGCATGGGAAACTTGTCTGTGACCTGGCTCATTATGCAGACAAAAATTAGTTCCTGCAGGAAGAAATCCCGTGCCTTTGGTTCTGCAGAGAGAAAACTAGGAAGGCAGACTGGCCAGGAGCTGCAGCATGCTCTAATAGGTCTCTGACCTGAGAGATTAATGACCATGACCTCAAGGCACAGTAGTCCTCTCATCATCTAAGTCTGAAAAGTCAGAAACATTATTTTTCCAACAGACTACTTTTCTGTCTCTAGTATCACCTACTGATAACATGCAGTATGATGAAATTTCTTCATACTCAAAAGATCTAAATCTGAATTGCCATGTCAGAGAAACATAATTCCTAGAGCAGTTCTGGTCCTTGGGAGGGGAGTGATGCAAGTATCGGTGTTGTATATACTTTTTCCCTGTTTAAAACTAGAAGCTGTAACTTGAGTGATTTTTGTTGATTTTGAGTTACAAGGAGTTTTTACTTCCAACTAACTTCTGCAGGAACAAAAGTATTTAACACTTGATAGGACAGTACTTTTAGTCTGAATATTTTATTTAACTTGATCAAAGACTTTGCACCACTGCAACATGACTAGGTATCACTTGTGCTGTTTACATAACCATCATACCTAAGCTGGTAGTAAGGATCATACTGGGGAACACTGCTGAATTACTCAAGTATATTAACATTTGCTTTAATCAATTTATTGACTACAGCATAAAGATAAACAAAGGAAAAAAATCAGCACTTTATTTCCAATTGGTTAGTGACAAGCTTGTCTCAAAAATCAAGTGCTTCAAAATATGCTTAATTCATAGTATTTGTGTCATTTACATTTTAAAAGAAAATTGTTGATTATACTTTGCTTCTCTAGATCTACCCTTATTTGGTTACTTGTTCAATTCTCTGTTTATGATGCAACTTTTCAGCAGGTTAACTTTGGTTACTTATAAAGAACCTAATCAAATATCTGAATTTTTTAGGTTTTTAACTTTACAAATCTAAAACCCAAAAATATAAAAAATTAAATCTACAAAAAACAACTAAATAAATAAAAAATATATATAAAGCTATGACTCCCCCAAATGTATCATCATACCTTAAGGTTCTGTTCCCATAACATCCCAGGTCTCCAATACCAAGATCATCAGCCATCAATAAAATGAAATTGGGATTTGAAACATGGTGGCTATTGACAATGTTTATGGCACAGTGGCAAATCATTAGAAATAAAAGGAGTCTCATCTTCTTCCTGGTGTATAAAAATAGGTCAAAAACATAATAGATAAAGATTTTTTTTTAAATTTAACTGTTAATTTACTTCAGACCTATTATTGACCTGGATTGTACAGTAGAAGAGAAAAAGAAAATTATATAATACATTTTTATTTGACTTTTTTTCTCAATAAGGTCTCTTTTTACATTATTTTCTCCATCATATTTTTTGAAAATAAAGATGTATCTTTTAGTATATAGCTAGTCTTTCCTCCCACACCTTTACACAGATGAAATCTTTAAATAACTACAATCAAACAACTAGTGAAGACCTCAGTGACAATACTTCTGCATACACAGATGCACTCCACAGCAGTAAATCATGAGAGTAAATAAGGTTGTGGGTTTTTTTTGCTTTAGGTATAAATGTGATTTGAGGAACACAGAAATTTAAATTATTTAGGACCAAAATTTCCAAGGTTCATTGGAGAAAAAAAGTTTAGCAATTCTGCTACTGAATTAAATGACTGATTTTCTCTTGAGCAAGGAAAGCTGCTCGAGTTTCTTGACTCGAGTCAGTAAGGAGTACGTATTACGGCAAAGGCGATGAACTGATGCACTGCCAAATTATTGAAACCAATGTTTAAGAAAAAGCTCTTTACAAAAGTTTTAAATATTACAGCCTATAGCAAAATTATGTAAAAAAATCTGATATCGCATCATAATGTTCTATAAACAATGCTCATGCTGTATCTGACTTAAAACAGGAAGAAGCATGTATTGTACATAATACTACCTACCATCACGTTTCTCTGATTTATTTGCAGATGTGCAAGCCATGAATGCTGGTTTACCTAAACTTGTCACAGGGACTTGTCATATCTCTGTTTTAAACTGCATTAACTATGCTCTGGCTGAAATTGAGTGCCTCTAGGCTGTGATGGACTGTGCCAGGTATACACATCAAAAAAGAACAGAGACTGTCTCTCTTTTCCCCCTAGTAATACTCCCTTCTTTTCTGGATGAAGGCAGCCTTTTTCAAATGCAGATCAGCATGAGTCACACTTGCACTCTGGATTATGCTGGGACAAGAAGGAAATTGGAGGAAACAAGGACAGGTAGAAATTTGAAAGAGAAAGAGTAGGAAAAAGAAGTAGAAACAAGAATTTCCAGAGAGAATGGGGACAGTGCGTCAAGAAAGAAAAAAACTTGTGTATCCATAAGTTATAGCAGATAAAAATAAATGGAGAGAAGATAAAGAAGCCAGAACTGGATGAGCTGGTACAAAGAGGCTAGACATCAAGGGAAACAGATTCATAAATCAGTGAGGTGTGGTGAGTAAAACTATCTGTAGAGAAGACGAAGTAGTCAGAACTGAAAGAGCTTGCACTGACTTGAATTAAGAGCAAGAAGGAAAGCTTGAGAACCAACCGAAATAAGAACTGCGGGTTGAAATGAGGAGAAACGGTAGAGGATTTAAGAAACTGGAAGGGATAGTATGACAGTGGCTAGGAAAACAAATTGAGGAAGAGATGGGAGAACTGGGAGTGTCTGGGATGAAAGAGCTGAGGAGTTATGATTAAGGAAGGTGAAGAGAACTGTTTGGAAAAAAAAGCCTGCACAGAAAAGACTTGGAACTGACATGAGTGAGAAGAGATCAACCACGAGTCTGTCAACCAAGACAGGTTGCAACTTCTGATTCCTAACTTTCATTGTTGCCATTCCATGAGAAAGTATAGGTACAAAGAGGATTTTAACTCTTCTAGCGCTTGTTCACATACACATAAAACACTAATAAGTATACTAGCTGATTTTTACTGCTTAGCATACACTTCATAACCCATTGACTTCACTTTTATGACAGCAGTTCCAGTTTAGATGTCAGCTGACAAGACCTAGAGATCCCAGCCTTATAACCGCAGCAACAGATCGCTACCTGGTTCACTTCATGGTAGGGAATCTACTTTGTTTCAGACATGGAAAATACATATACAAACTTTAAGACCAAAACACTATAGTTCTGCTTGGTGGGATGCATCTAACCAACCCTTCATCAAATTAACATACTAACGAAGCTGTGCTAGCATCTGCCACAGTGCAGACTTTTAATCTGTGCGGTAGATTTACCTTTCTTGCCTGAAAGGATAAACAAGCGTGAATTGTTTCCCACGCATTTCAAGAGAACAACACACTGATCCGACAGGATAGGAACAACCTGCTGGCACATCTTGTGTTCCTACTCCACTGTTCAGACTGTGAGGGTCTCAAGGCCCATGATAATAGGGATGTTCAAAAGGGCGACATATATGTTGGTGACATTATACAGAGTTGCATGGATGCTCGCAGGACCTGCACGTTTATTTCATAGAATTACTGAGTGCCCTCAGTTTTGCTGCAGGCTTCACATTGTCTGAATAAAACCTAGAAATATATTCTCCTGCCACTAATAAATCCACCATTTTAAAGGCACAAAGCTAGCTGGTTTTGCAAATTTAACAAACAGTAAGTCCAAGTTTTAATTTAACTGGTACAAACAAAACATCCTGTGTTTTAATTAGAAGGTATGGAGCTATGGAGAGAAGTCTTCTTGAATATGTGTGAGGTCTTTAGACACTAATGAACAGAGCAAATTAATTTTCCTTTTACTGAGCAAAGTTACTGTTAGAAACCAGAGTAGTAGCTGTATTTTATTTTCCAGAATGAAAGAAATCTAAAAATAAGTGAAATATCTTAGAAATTAACTGACTACAATTTATTGAATTTTAGAGATTTCAAGCCTGTGCAGAGACATGAGCAGGAAAATAATCTATTCACCAAAATACCTAAGAAAATTAATCACCTTGGTCAAACTTTAAAATCTTCCACTGTATATGTTATATCGCCTCTTCATATAATATTTTAAATAAATCTACAGAACAAAGTTAACTATAGTTGTGCTCAGTATCAACTGGATCATTGTCATTTGCAAAGAGGCTGAAAATTTTACTGTCAGTATCTATTCCTGCAGAAGATAGTTTCATTTAGTACCTCCATTTCTCATTTTGCAAATCAAGAAAAAAAAAAGTTATTGAAAGATGTCTCCGATATAATATTGCTGGATACTCCTTCACTCTGAAGGAGTATCTGTAGGTGCTCTCACGCATTAGCCTATTTGCCTCCACCTTAAATCATGTTCCTGAAGTAGAATCAACAAGGAAACGGGAAAAAAAAAAGAATCCCAACAACTGCTTTCTCTGGTGTACTCTCTCTGCAGCGGACTTTCATGCATCTTGAAGGGATGTGCCTGGAAAGCAGGAAAAATTAGATGGATGAAATTGAGTGGAATGGACAACAGCAAAGAAATTCAAGGGAGTAAAAAGGGAAGGATGTGAGAAGAATGAAGCTCAGAGAATGCTGAGGTTTGTCTGTGTCACACTGGGGTTTTTAATGGTGAAAGGACAGGCATGTTAAGATCATCTTAACATGAAAATGATTACACCAAATTAGATGAAGCTTCCGCTTAACCTGCTATTTGGTTTCCAACGATAGCTAATCCAAATGCTTAAGGAAAGAAGTAAGAAACTTGGCAAATACATTCTTTTAATAATGCATCCTTCTAGCTTTTGGCAGTCAGTATTTAGGGTATTTTGGACAGGAGAGCACAGTACTGAATAGTTTCTCATGGATCTTTTTACTTTCATGAATTTGGTTTAGTCTATTTTGAACCAATTAACTTTTGTTTTGTCTTGGTTTTTTACACTGAACCAATTTAGTTTTTTTTTTTCACTTCCACAATATACTTTAGATGTTCCTGCAGTTGGTTTCAACTTTGAAGGCCTTTGTTTTAGATTCAGGAGGCAATATTTGTCCTTAATTGTGTGTAGGACAGATAAGTACAATTTTTAATCTCTGCTTCACTTTCCCTGTGATACATAATAGGACTAATAGTACCTTCTTTCTTCCCAAGATGGCTGCTAAGCTGAATAGATCTAAGAAGTGCTTAACTTCCTACAACAAGAGCCATATAAGAATTTGGACTTCATACATGTTATTTCAAAGAAAAATACTTTAATTGTTTCATATGAACCTATATATATGCATACATACATAGATGTGTCGATTTACACATCTGCACATGTATGTGGGTGCATATACACACATATCCTGCTTTTTCTACATATCTTTAAATTATGTTTTTGGGATTCTAATAAATATTTTCTATTTGTATTAAAACAAATTAAGTATAAATGTATAAGAACAAATGGATGAAAATAAATTATAGATATAATCCACTCTTCGTTGATATTTCATGTGGATTTACCAAACACTTCTTTTAAGTTTTAGTTTTCTGCATTAAAAAACGTAGGCAGATCATACAGAAGCTAAAGAGTTATCCTCCCCCACTTCCCCCTCAGGATAATTGGCTCAAGATATGGTTGTTTCTTCCTCATCCTGATTACTACAGATACATGCATCTTTTACACGAACGGTGATATGAAACTCTTTCAAACCCCTCTTCCCAACTGAATCATCCCAGCATTTTTATTCAGTTTGATTAAGCAATTTATCTCTAAACTACTCTTTTAATGCAACAGAACCCTTTGAGAAAATGCTTAATACACTTCATCCTTGAAGGTAAAGTATTTTCTGATGAAATAAGCAACATTTAAAGATATTCACCTCATTAAAAACTTGTGCTATCCTTAAGCAGCACGCAAAACAAAACAAAAATTACTTTGCTTAACTGAATGCCAGAACTTCAAAAATTTCCCTAAGAGTCATAAAAATCACACTGCAAACAAACTAGAAGACAACGCTGCCCTCCACAAGATTCTGCAAAGAGAAAATTCATCAGCTTCATGAGAAACAAAAAAAGTAATTTTAAATTGTAACAAATGGTAAAGTAATATTATATACTATTATTAATTTTCTGGTATCAGTTTAAGATTTGTTCAAATCTCTCAATTAATTCCTCTCTTACAAGTCAGTCATATCTGTTGCATCTTTTATGTCAAAGGACTGCAAAAAGAGACATAAAACCACATGCTTTT